GCCTAGCCGCCTAGTCGGAACGGACGAACTTCTCCGCGAGAAGGAACCGCGAGCAGGAGGCGAGGAGCCGGTCAGGAAGCGTGGGCTTCGGGGGGGAGGGGCGGGAGGGAGGGGGGGAGGGGGTGGAAAGCGGGTGGACGCCCGAGAGAGGTTTGGTAACGCGGGTCGAGTACGAGAGCTCCGGAGGCAGAGAAGAAGAGGGAGGCGGAGGTGAGCGCGCGCCAAGGGTTCTGAGATACTAACCCTTGGCCAAGCCGCACCCCGAGGTCCAGAATAATCTACAATCCATATCAGTCTTAGGTAGTCCACCCTGCCGTCCTCCCCGCGCCCGCGTCCCCGCACCGCCGTCCTGGAACCACCTTTAGCAATGAGAGAGCCCGTCCCGCGTCCCTCACCCTCCGCGGCTGCGTTCGCGCGTCCTTTTCCCTCTCGCCGCCGCCTCTCCGTGCCACGTCTCCCGTCCGTCCCTTCGAGTATTCCCGCTCCCCCCCTCCTCTCACCCGCCCGTCCGCCCGTTGCTCTCTCCGTCTTAGCCGCAACCCTTGCCGGGACCAGCCGGCTAGTCAATACCCCACACGTTCCGTCCTTATACGTGCTGGTGCCGGCTCCTTCTATGTATGGACCCTAAACCATCTCCCTATCCAGTCCACCGCCGGGCTGGCTCCTTAACGATGGAACTATACGCGTCTCCCGCCGCCCGCCGCACGTCGCTCGCTTCTGTCGTCCCCGGACACCCTCCGCCGCGGAGGTTGCCATCGTGCGATAAATTCGCTTCGCAACTGGCCGTCTGCTGACGCGAGTCATCGACAGTCTGAGAGACGTCGAAGTCTGCGAGACGAGTCGCGAGGTGACGGACATTCGGAAGTCAACGTCAACGGGAATGTCATCGGTCGACGAGGGAGAAGACGCGAAATTCCGCGATTGTTGCGAGGCGCGGGAATTACGTCCGACGGACGCGTTTCTCACGTTGCCGGGTATCGCTGTGAAACGAAACGCTGTGTATGCGGTTCACCGGTTATGCAGTCGCCAGCTATTTCCCCGCTCTAGGATTAAACTACGAAAATTCAAATTCAAATTGCGTAACGCGCGCTATAAAAGATTACAGAAATATATCAGGCGATATCGAGGAGAGCTGCGGAGCCGTGCAGTTGGTTACGTTGATCCATTTCGATCGTCGCTTTTCGCGCGTACCGGAAAAACGCGTTAGAGCGCAGAGCGCGCATCGGGAGCGAAAATAAATTTGCATCGGCAATCTATTTCGACCAGCAGAATCCATCGGCGATGGTATATATAGAACGGGGTGTCTATTCCGAGGTAATGCGGAACGCCCGGAGTCACGAATGTACATACAGGAATATCGCGGAGGAGTCAGTCTGGAAATGGACGATTAGGTTATCCGAGTTAAACGGGCAAACGACTGTCCTGCATTATTAAAGAGCTTTCGGTGGAAGGCAGCGCGCGGAGAGGCGAGAGCGCGACGGAGAACGGGCGGCGAATCTAGCATGGGGAGCCGAGTAGACGAGGTATTTATTATGGCACCACTTCCTGGCGCGTAGCTATTTCAGTCTTCATTCATACTTAGAGGCAACGACGGGGATTCAGCTCCTTCGCGAGGCGCTACGTAGGAATAGTTAGATTCATTCACGGCTTCGATGCTCGGGGTTGCGAGAAGGTTCATTCAGGGTCTACCATATGTTCGATAGCGCGTCTTTCGTCGATCTCTTTCGCTTGAAAGAATTAATCAACTTACCGCCGGATCGCCGAGATCAATATTTTTCTCTAAATTTACATCGAGAATTTAACACCGTTCAATTTTTCACTTTGGTGCAACATGTATTTGTTGACAATCTAACAGTCACGCTTATGCAAAAAAAATTTTGTTGATTTATATGCAAATTTTTAGAGAACTATATATTGTTGATAAGATATTTTGTAACATCTACATACGTTTTGCCATCTAAAATAATTAAGAACGTCGCACGATGCTTTTATAATGCCATAAATGTACACTTATGTGACAATTCACATTTTATATATATCAATATTTTAAAGCACAGATAACCTTTGAAAGAACTTACGAAAGAATTTAATATATTTCTTTTTTTTTTTTGCGTGAAGAAAGAAGTTTCTTTGCAGATGAAAGTATGCCGTAATGTTCGGGATAAAATACATATTTTTAAACACGTGCCTGCTTTCGTCTGTTATATATATGTAATTTTTTAAATTGTTTTAGTACTTACATCATCATTCATTACTGCAAAGTTCGAAGAAAACACGACAAACTATTTGACCCAAATGGTCTTCTTTCGAGATGTTAGTGTGTATTTATTCGTTCGACAGGACATGTTGTGTAAAATAAGATAGCGTCTTAAACTTTTCAACGCCTGTGGCATTCGTTGATGGTACGTGGATCGAATATCTCAGTTGTCAAGCGATCTTTACTCTTAATTGATTTCGTGCTTGCAATTCAGACAGGTAGTTGGTTTTTTTTTCTTTTTTTTTTCTCTTCAGAATCAGCACTCGCAAATTTTCAATACAGCATATACGGATAAACCTTAAAACTGTGTTCGACACCTTACTCTGCTACCTTAAAAAATCGAAATTGTTTTTATTTTTGAATTTGCGTGCTTCGCGATCCCGCTTCTTATCGCTCGTAAGGAATTTATCACAATTTTCTGCCGGCTCCAGCCAACTTTTGCAGCACGAGAAGAAACGCGAGTATTATCCCACATTCATCTCTTTACGACGTTACTATATTACATAATGTAACAATAAATTGTCAAAAAGTTTGGCGAAATAACTTTCTGAAGCAGATACATTTGTTTTGCCTATACATGTTTCGTTTTATCTATATGCAAGAAATGACAGTTAAAATTCTCTGCCTTTTGAATTCATAGAAATGTAACGGTCTATATATAGAAGAAGATTAAGGTGTACGATTTTTTACGGTGTAAAAACTTATGTTTCTAAAAACGGCTTTATATTGAGATTACATGGGCAAACAAACGGCCACATGTGGCTAATGTTCACACCGCATTTTTCTTTGAAAGGGAAAGAGCACCTTTCTTTGTCGCATTGGACTGCATGCAGCTTGATTGCCTCAGTGTAAGGTCGGCTTTATACTTTGACGAAAGATTTCTGAGAAAAAATATATGATACATATATGTATATCTTTTCTCAACTTTTACCAAACAGAATAATAAAGTTCTTAAAAATCGTAAAGAATTTGACCACATGAAACTCAGTGGTTTGTATACTTTAGAGAAACGCGATGTTATCTCGATCGACCTTTCCAGAATTCTACTCTAATACGTTACATATATTATAGATTATAGAGCGTATTGGAGCGAGTAGGAGCATGCGACGCGAGCAAACCTTTTATTACTTTACGTCTCATAATTATTGCGCCTATTTTGCGTTATCTCTGTTCAGCTGGGACACTCGCTCCATTTGCTCTTTTACACGCGTTTTTCCGTCCACGTTTCTCCATCTCGTGCGTATGTGCATTATGTGCACGTCCTGTATGTCGGGATAGCGTAAGCTGAAAATAATTTGGCGGGAAAGAATTGCCACCGCAGATTTTGTACGATAATCCTCTAACCAGGCGGGAAAAGAGAGCCTTACAAGATGCTTTGCTCTGCGAAAAATTCATTCATTGCGCACTTGAATTTTTTATACATGAATATTATAATGACAACTTTTTGTATCAATATTGCCAAGAAAATATGACTGTCATCAGATGAAAATTTTTAACCGTTAATGCCGGAGTAGAACAAAATTGATTATACAGAATGACTCGTAATTTGCATTTTTTTAAATAGGCGCAGCGCGTTCTCGATGAAACAAATTGATGTAGCAGTTAAGCCACTAAGAATAAAATTATGCGGTTTTTCTTGGTGTAAAACGATTTGAAAAGAATAAAGAAAGAAAAGGTGAATTCCAATAGGGAACGTTAATATGGATCAAAAGAAAAATCAAGCTAAAAAGAATAAACACATAATGCTCGTGAATGGAAGGGTTCACGTGTTCTTCAAAGAATACTGACCGAACAAGGTTGAACGAAAGACGGAATTGCTGAGTCGTGAAAAACGATTTAACAAGAGCAAGCGCGTGGCCAATCGCAGAGTAGTTAAATACCGAAGACATGATGCGAGCTTTTCTTCTCGATCGCTGGTAATTGCGCCCGCAATACTGACGAGCGCTTAGCAAATATTTGAATTATGTATTGCGGCGAGTGTGCGCGAATCTTGCCGCTCTGAAAGAAATCAATTATTGTCGCGGGACATGTCGCAAATGTCTCTCGATTAATATTAACGCGAGTTCTATAATACGTGATTGTAAATAACTCATATTTCAATGAACTTTACAATACGAAACAGATTTAGGTTTTTTAATAATCCGAAATCGAATTGCCGCAAAATTTTTCGAACTATGCAAACTTTCATCAGAACTCAATTTCATATAACAAACTAATTTCACTCTTCACAACAACATACAATATTCTCTTTCTCGCTCAGCGTAGATTCAAAATAAAATTTAAGAGTAACAATTAAGATACAGCGATTAAAATATTTTTGATTTTCTGGCTTTAGATATATGTATATTTCCCAGTTTAAACAGCTTTTTCGTGAAACTACGCAAACTTACATGGTCGCCAAAAACATTCTACAAAATTGATTTGAAAAGGTCGATAAATATTTAACTTCTCACCGAAAGACAAAAAGCATTAGAACTAGTTTAATATGCGAGGAACATTTTTTAGAGGAACATGCCAAATGGCAGTGACATGTATATTCAGTGAATGCAAAGATTATATTCGTAACAAAAGCATTTTTTGAACAATGGGGCAGGTAAAAATGGTTGATGTAGTTAAGATCTTTTCAAAATAACTATGCAATGTTTCATGTTGGTCGTAAAATCAGCAGGAATGTGCACTTTTCATTTTTATATTTTGTTATGCTGATTATTTCTAATAATCTTGCTATTATTATTTGCTTCAGGTAAGATTTCGGAGAGCAGGTAAAAAGGAAACTTGTATCCCAAAGCATCACATATTCATGTATACATTTTCACCGTCACATGTGTCAAGTTGAATGGCAAATCTCTATTGGACCGGATAAATCTTGTCAGGTAAGATTTATTATATGTGCCTCTATCTATTGTTGTACTTCAGTGGGACAACTAATTTCGACTAAGTTTTTCTTATGTGGAGCTACCTGAAAGTAGCATATTTCTAACTAATAGAAAATAAAAATTTCCATTTTATATAACTTTTGTCAGATAATTGTTCAAACTTCTGTGGTTTAAAATCACGTGGATTATGCTACTTAATTATTTTAAAGATTAAATAATATATAAATTAATAGGATTATTACGCGTAGTTTTTTTTTATAGAAATAAACGTCAGCGTGAAATACGAACTTAAATAAATAATACAGAAATGGAAAGATATAAGTAACCAACAAACAGATATTTTATTAATATAACACGTTAGAGCGAATATCCTTGATTTTTTGACAAGTAACAATATGTCTCAGAGATTTGGCTGATTTTACGTCAGATGTGTTCTGCGTGCACGTTAACATTACACAACTATAGTTCATATTCTTCCGCTCATTATTTCACCGAGGTGAAAATCGTTTCTTCGCTTAGCGGCTTTTTAATCATCCTTTGCATATCGGAACGCATATCTCTGTTTAGCGTACGTGCACACAGCCCGGGACAGTTATCTGCCCGGCATCCTGTTTTCGTCCGTGAGTAACTCCCTCAGAAAGTGTCCTCCTCGCGGTCTGAGGCGTGCAAGGTACATACTTTTACCTCTGGCGCACGACCGCGCCGCACCTTCCAGCTACGCTAATCTCTCGCAGATCTCCCACGGAATCTCATTAGAAATTCATAACCGTCGCCCCCGGTACCCCGCCGCCCCCTGTCCCGCCGGGCGCCGGAGGCGCGGGGGAAAAAACCCATGATACGAAAGAAATAAGCAGGCAAAGTACATTAAAAATTAATTACTTTGCTGATGGAAGCTAGAAGTGCCTAGGTGCGCTCTACACCCCCACGAATAGCCTGCTTACCTCCGCATTCACCGGTCCGGGAACGAGGTGCTGCATTCCGCCTCCTTATTTCAAATACCTTAAGGCACCCGCGTATTTGTTAGCGTGTACTTTAGAAATCAAATCGACGTTACCTCCTTGGCGGATACTTTTCTTTTTCTTAATTCGCGCGGAATAATTTATGAGTAGCTTTCACGATGGCAGCTATTGTTGTCCCTGCGAATCGCAATTTCACATAAACATAATTTGAAAACGTCTTCTATAATCCGTACAATGATTTCTGCGCGAAAAGAGTTTAATAACAACAGCTGTGAGCGTTATAATAGTTATTACAGTAATTATCGTCATCCGTGTGAGTAATTTTAAATATTTTATTGCGATTTGAAAAACATCCTTCTTCAAATAAGTTGTGTTAAATTTCGCGTGTAATAATTCGAGCTTTGCACAGACGTGGATGACAAATGCAAGCTCGTGAAATTTATGGTTCCACGATCGCTCAAGATGATCCACATAGGCTAACCAATTTAGCCGAGTCACAGATCGGTCGAGCCGATCTGCGGCAGCGGCAGTGGCCAGCCATTTATTTTAATATCGGCTTATTAGGTCTAGGCCGAGATAAATAGATAAATAGATTCCGCGGAAAGGCCTCGATCGGATTTGCCGAGCGGCGAGGCACTTAACTCGCGACCCTTTTCCGCGACACCGCCGAGAGAGAATCGTGGAAGAGTAAGAGAGGGAGAAAGAGAGAGAGTCAGAGGGAGGAAAAGGAGGCGCTCTCCTTCCGCCTACGTCCTCCGCGTCTACATCAAATTCCGCCGTCACTCCCACGTCCATCGTCCTTCGCAGAGCGGCAGGACCCGGGACTCCAGGAGTAATTAACTCCTTAACGAAGTAAACACGACGCCATCTTAGCTCCAGCTACCTACCTCCAACCGCCCCCTCGAGCATCCCTCCAGCCTTGCCCATTCCTCTCCCCCCTTTCCTACCTCGCGCGCACGGGGTGGCTGTTGGCCGTAAATAAAGTATACCTGCGCTCAGGGAAGCCCGTAAGAGGGTCGTGAGGCGCGAATCGCGCTTTTTTCCCCCGTTACATTTCCACCCCTCCGACGAGATTGCACCGGCGATTTTATTTGCCGTGTATTAATGCGATTCGAGATCTCGGGGAACTTCGCGCCCGAGATCTCTCGGACCCGCCACGGCTCGCCTAATTGCGTTTCGGTCGTTGCGCGTGGATTTTATTTTAGGAACGACGTAGATCTTCGACGCGATATAGATCACGAGTTTGCTAACTTAAGATAGATGAGATGGCTCCTCTCGATGGTTACTTTTTGCGACCCCAAAGTGTTATCGTCCATAAAAACGGCGAAGATAGCGGAATTTTATTATTTTTATTTCACTACTTTTATTTTACTAAAGAAGCGCGAATATATGTATATATATATATATATATATATATTGTAGAATTAATACTGTTTTCTTTTCATTATAATTTCCACAAAGTATATTTATATAACGTTATGTAGTCCTTTTTTTTAATTTTGCCTAAAAGCAATGCAATATTATTAAAATTAAGCTATGTTGAGTGCGCGGAATCTCTTGTAAAAATGGAGAGAAAATCAGTTAAAACATAGAGTCAATCGTTGATAAATGAGATCGAGGATAGTTAAAATTCATAGTACGAGTGGTATGTTTTATTGCGGACATCGAGCAGTTGCCCAGAAGTGTCAAGCTAGTTCAGACTCGGCAGGCTCACCCGTTTCCATCCGCGGCTGTATCCGCCGTACAAAAAATAAGGAGGCCGTGATTAATAAACGGTCCGGCCGCGCAGTAAAGCACGGGGAATAGTCGAGCCGTGTTCGCGAGATCCCCTATCGACGATCCGAATCCCCACGACCCGATCGGACGCCAATCCCGAGTTTGCTTCTTCTTCTTCTTCTTTTTCTTCTTCTTCTTCTTTTGCTTCTTCTTCGAGCAGACACGTGATCGCCGACAAATGTATACGAGGCCGCGACCGTATCCGACATAATTTGACTCCGGTGTACCGGTGAGGTAACACAATCCGAGTTGCATCACAGGCGTGGATCACATCTCCGCCACGTGAGGCGAGGACGGTGGGGAAGGTGGCCAAAGTGAAAGGGGGGAGGAGGCGAAGTAGGAGGAAGAGGGAGTGCGAGAGCAAATGCAGCGCGCGGTATGTGGACAGAAGAGAAACAGAAGGGGGCGAAAGGGGTCCGTTCGTTCGTTCGTTCGTTCGTTCGTTCCTGGCATACAGGTCGAGGGGTCCGGGTCGCACGATCCTGCTTGATCTTTGCGCTCGTGCGATCGCTTGTTCCTCACGGAGTCCTTCTACCGAGAGCTACGAGCGTCGACGCGATTGCTCTTTTGTTCGTGAACGAAAATTGCCTGATAAGCCGTACAGCGCTTCTTTATTTTTCCTTTTCTCCCGCTCTGTCGCTCAAGTTTAGCGCAGATATATACGAAAAAAAACTAACAAATTAAGTAAGTATAAATTCGGTTTATAGTTAATAATTCTTATTTTACACTTATGTGAATGACACGCGAATATATACGCGTGATTTATACGAATTGTCAAGTGTTAAAATATAATGAGATAAATTATGAAAAAGAAATTAATTATATATAACATATAATTTAATACTCCATTTTAAAAGAATTAAAAATTTGCATTTATACAATGCTTAAAAACATAAATAGCTCGTTTGAGAAGGAAGATCAGTGACAAGTGAACCCAAGCGGGAAATTTTGACGCGGCAAATTGACACGATTGCGTCGGTCCGTTTACCGGAAAATGATTAATTGTCAGAGTAATTAAGGGCTGCGGTGTCTACCAAGCGCGCTCCTTCGCCGAAGCGACGAAATCTCCAAAGAACGCAAATCGGTAGTATGAAAATGTCTAATCAGGGAGAAGAAATTTGTTGTATGCGATTTCGCCACCATCGCGTTTTATGTCGATGAAGCAATAATAAATCTTTGATTTTTCAATCGTCACATTAAGAAATTATTATATACAATCCACTTTTTGAAAAATAATGGAATTGAAAGATCACGATCGGTAAAAACCATTGTCGCGTTTATCATATCAAGTTCAGCGGGAACCATCGATTATCTTTGCGTTTCGAAAAGCTGCTTGAGACGCTCGGGCGGAAGCTGTTCTCAATAAATCATCGAATACGCCAGCGTCGCGCGAGTCGAACAGCTTTCCGGCCATAACGTCTTGTCCAAGTTCATACCCATCACTCGCTAAATCCGTGGACGAACTTACGGTGTGCATAACCTGATCTTCTAGAGGTTTAACCAGGCACCGGTGCCTACTTCCCCTTGTTCCTCCCTCGCGTCTTCCCTCCCCTCCCCCCACCGTCGCTCACCCCGTGCGGGACATTGCGAAGTATAAGGAGTGCATGCCACGTTCTGGAGCATGAGGAGCGATCTGCTGGAAGGACGTATACGAGCGAGAAGAAGGGAAAGTCTAAGATTTCAAAGGAGGGAGAAAGATCCAGAGAGGAACAAACGAGGAGTGACGAGAACCGCGGCTTGATGGGAGAGAAGAGCGTCTTAGGAAGGGAAGGGGGGAAGCGAAGAGCAAACGGACGGGCGCGCGGGCGTGCTAGTGAGTGAGTCGTGCATCTCCCACAATTAGTCGGGATCTATTTTATTCGTCAGCGGAATTTATCGCCCGTAGTGACTCTAGATCAACTCTCCTCGTGGCTTTTCCCGCCTTTCCTCCTTTTCCCTTTCCCCCCCCTCCCCCCCTTCCCTCCCTCCCCCCCACCCTGTCCTTCCCGATACGTGTATAATAACGTGCCGTGATCGCGTATTCCATGAGACGAGGGGGGGCCGGTTTGTTTATAGGCGAGATGAAAGATTAGGATGCTGCTCACTACCGACAATGCGAACGGCGTTGGTCGTTGCTTGTCTTCCGCTGATTTTACTCGTCGATGGTGATGCTGTAACATGGGGTGAGACTGCGCGAGAGAGGGTGCAAAGAAATAAAAAGAAAAGACCTTCGTGAGTTTTATAGACAACGAAATTCTCTCTGGATATCTTTTGTAGGTGATT